CTAAACTGAAATAGACTGCTCTTCCATTCCCTCCTCCAGTATGTCAAAGCTGCTTTATGCAGCTATCATTCTCCCGTTATGCAAACTGGCTACTAGCTACTTTTTGCAGGCCAAGATGAAGGTAGATAAGAGAGATCAGCTGGCATACATGATAAGGGAGGGCCAAAATTGCTGCTGTTGACACTGGGGAGGGGAGGGTTAAGATTGCATGTTGAAACTCTTGTGGGGAATGATCCAGGGAGCACAGCCAATGTCTGAACTCTTTCTGGTCCCTAAATAGTTTAGCAGCAAACCTTTCTCCAAATATAACCCTTATCTATCGCTGCCGAACAGCCACATCCAAAGCACTAAAGGATCCATATTTATGTCATGTGACCTCAGGGTGGAGTCATAAAAATAGCTGACCAAGAGACCTGATTATTTAATTTCTATACTGCTTAATATATTGAAAATATCTAAGTGGTATACGGAAAACTGAAGCAACAGCAGACAACTCAAAAATTTTACAGAAATACACAATTACATATAAATATGTTACATTAATTTGTTGTTGTTTAGTCGTTACATTAATATGTTACATTAATTCATTGTTGTTTAATCGTTTAGTCGTGTCCTACTCTTCGTGACCCCATGGACCAGAACACGCCAGGCACTCCTGTCTTCCACTGCCTCCCACAGTTTGGTCAAACTCATGTTGGTAGCTTCAAGAACACTGTCCAACCATCTCATCCTCTTTCGTCCCCTTCTCCTTGTGCCCTCCATCTTTCCCAACATCAGGGTCTTTTATAGGGAGTCTTCTCTTCTCATGAGGTGGCCAAAGTATTGGAGCCTCAGCTTCAGGATCTGTCCTTCCAGTGAGCACTCAGGGCTGATTCCTTAAGAATGGATCGGTTTGATCTTCTTGCAGTCCATGGGGCTCTCAAGAGTCTCCTCCAGCACCATAATTCAAAAGCATCAATTCTCCGGTGATCAGCCTTCTTTATGGTCCAGCTCTCACTTCCATACATCACTACTGGGAAAACCATAGCTGTAGGACTGTATGGACCTTTCCATCAGCCTATAGGTTACTAGAGATAAATCCATCTGCTTGTACTGTCTAGTCTGGCTGAATCAGTCCATCTATCTCTGGTATTGAGTTTATGGTACTTCTGGCACGTGCAACCCTCTCACCCTCCAGGTTCTCACCTGGGTCCAAAAAAATTCTCAGCTCACCCACTAAGTCTCCCAATAAGAGTTCCTGGAAACAGCGGTTGTCACTTTAGTCTCTCTAGACTTGCTTTTTATGGGCAGGTCCAAGGTGTATAGTATCTTCCGCAGGCTGCCCACAGCTCTGTGCCAATCACCTGCACTCTCCAAACCCAGTTCCAAGTACAGGTGGTTTGGTGAGTTTCCCAGGGAGTCCGGAGGATGGGAAACTATTGTTTATGTCATATACTTCTGTAGTCCAGGTGATCTCATGATTACATCACAATTCAGAGTGTTTGTCTGGTCCCACAGATCCATAGAAACTGAAACACAGAAGCCATACATTTACCAATGCCTCCTTTCAATCTTTAAGATCAGTGGTGAGTGTCCCATGTGCTGAGTACATATGTCAAGGGTAAGCATTTGGGAGATAGGTCCATGTGAACCTTTATCAAATGGAATTTTGCCCAAGCACAGTTTTAGTTTAGAAAAGCCAGGAAATTGATCTAATCCGGGCTGTATTTTGATGTATGATACTAATGGTATGTATGTATGATGGCTAAAACTTTTGGGTATTTTAAAGTAAAGTATTGGTAAATGCTCTGAGCCTTTGGTGAGCTAGATGGGGAGAGGTTAAAATTTAAATAAATGGGTAATGAGTGGAGCTTGGTGGTCTTTAATAGAAGCACAGTGTCTTGCATGCCATCTAGATCTATGCTAATTTGCCATGCTGCAGCTCTAATGGAAGAAATAGAAATGGCACATCTATTGACTGGTACCATCTGTTCCCTGCCAATTCTACTTTCCTACAGATAGCAAGCTGTGCATTTGGCAGCAGCGAATCTCAAACAGTTAACATGTGCCCCAGGGAGGGCAACTGCTTACCCTAAACCCATCAAAAAGCGCAGCTACGTTCTGCAAGATTCATGTTATACTCATCACATCTGTTTCATTTTTTATTTTTTTTGGTATTCATGACTGATGGAACAGTTGAGATGCAAAGTCACAGTTTTTAATATAAAACAAAAGCAAGCACGAAACACAGACAGAATATACATCTCAGTGAATAATTTCATAATGAGACTTCTAGCCTGGGAAACATGAAATGTACTCTGTTATTTTTAGATAGAAAAGACAAAATAGAATCCAATCATATGTCAAGCCACAATAACATCAGTGTTCCTAGTTAAGGCACTGCAACAGGAACTGCCTGATGTATTGAAAAAGAGCAAGATCCACCAAATTGCAGAGCACTTTCAATTTTAGGTTCAGTTGCAGGACCTCTAGTAGGATTCAGTTTAGCAGCTCATGCTGTAGAACAGTAGTACTGGATAACTAATGTGTTCAGTTTCCCCCAGTTAATCTATTTAGACCCCAACATCCTTTAACCCTCCTCTGTGCAAAAAGGGGCTTGGTGTACCCCTTTCAGCTAGCATGCTAGGAAGTGTTGGGCACTGCAGAAGAATTTGTAGAAGTCAAGCCTTTTGTAAAAGAGCTATCACCAGAAGGTTACAATCCAAAGTGCTTTAGAATAGTGGAAGAAAAATTTGAATAAATGCAAGTTTCTGCACTTGCCAGACCTGGTGGTTTGGACTCTTACAGGGTACTGTTTCTCAGACAAAGAATGTGGGCCAGACCAGACCTCTGGGTCTCTCCAACAGATGTGGAAATCTCCCTCCCTTATTCCTCCCCATGCTGCATCATATTGCTTTCTCTGTTCTTGCTTCTCCCTGCTTCTCCCTGCTTCTCCCTTTGAATATCTACTAGTAATGGCATTGGGCAGTTAAGACTGGGGCATCAGCAGCCCTCACATGGCCTGATGTTTTACAAGAAGGCAATATGTAAATACCTTAATTGTTTACTTATTTATTAGATTTATTAGTCTCTAAGCTACTTACATTGAAAAAAACATATATGCATAAATACATTATATGATAGAAAAGGAGGGGGAATAATATAATACATTAATATTCCATATTGAGAAGACAAAAATCCATCAGCCCCTCATAACAGTAATAATAAACATTATCAATACACAAACAATACACAAAGTAATAATCTACCAGCTGGCAGATAAACAGGACAACACCAACACCCCATCCCTAGCCCCAAACCATTCACATCAACATGGCAATTTCCCCTCCTTAGAAGTTCTCCACTCTGCCCAGAAGTCCAGCATCAAGGCTAGCAGCTGTAAATCAATGTCTGGTGGGCTCAGGGTCCTCCAGAGATGTTCCAATGTCTCTCCTCCTTTCAGGGAGAGCAGCAGCAAAAGCAGAGCAGGAAGAGGGTCAGAGTTTTACCAGCTCTGCAGTTGTCCTGGCTGATGATCTGCTTCTGCTGCTGTTGGGTGTCCCTGCTTTTGGTGCATGAAGGACAGGTGTGAGTTGGCATTGTACAATGTAATACAGTGATGCCATTTTAGTGCTTTAAAGTGTGCAGTTGTTTAGCTCTGAAGTCCTTTCCTATAGGCAGTGGACCTCTTAGAGACACCTGGACATCATATCCCTTGAAAGCTAAAAGGAATTCATGGAAATCTTTTTTATAACTGATTCAGAGTGACAAGGATTTTGTGTACTTCTCCAGTTGCTGACCTCCAGCACTCATGACTGTGCCTTGAGCAAGGAGGGATCAATTACCCTGCTACCATCTACTGTCATTTTAAATCTGCAAAGGAATTGTGCAGTGTGCATAGTAAAAGCGCGAAAGACTGCTATTCTATTGTTAACATATGCTTTCATTTATTTATTCATTCATTCACTTTTCTTTCCACATAAACATGCATCTGAGATTAAAACAAGGGATTGCCCAGTATAAGTATTTCTGGGTTGTTTGGTTTTTTTTGTTCTGCGAGAAACCAATGAAACAGCATTGTACCAGGATTTGAAAACGTATTTGTTAATTACAGTGATCATATAGTCTTTCAAATGCTAATAGTCTGACTGCAATTTCATTTTGTTTGGTACTGATAGAACTTATGATTAAAGAATGGTATAGCTTTATAGTGATTTTACTGCCATCTGTGTGCACCAGGCAATAACTATGTACAGATGGTTGTGATTCAGAGACAGGTTGCCACATGCAAAAAAAGTATGTTTCAGTTATTTCAGTAAGATTTATTGCAGCAGTCACAGTTAAATGCTTGAACCTTAATGATAATTGCTACTAATCCTTCAAGAAAAATGATTAGAGTTTAATAAACCGCAAGGAGCAGCTTTTGTCATAAACTTCAGAAACATATCACAAAGGTATATTTTATTTTTCCCTTCCCTTGTCTAATCATTTATTTCAGCATACGTGTGCTGCAGAGCTTTGTAATGTAAAAGTTGGGAATATTGTGCAAAATGCGGCACACTGTCTTTCTAAGTTCTCTTTCAAAGAAAGACTAAAATAGCAAATTATATTATTTTAAGTCGAGTTGTTTTGAAATTTCTACATAAAATAGGGTACAAAACCCTGAGGTAAAATGTGGACTACACTGAAGAAGGCTCAATATCTGCTGTATTTTCATGGTGGGATACACACACCTCAAAGCCCACCTGTGATAATCAGATACGTAGTCCTACAACTGTTAAAACGAAAGGAGAGACCAAGTAGAGTTCTATTTTATGGTCTCTGAGACAACTACAATAATGTTGTTTTTCTAGTCGTAATATCCTGTATATTCTTCTCCCTTGCCCCTGTTTTTCAGGTTGTGTATTTTATTTTTTTGGAATGAATAATTACTTTTTAATATTCAGGTAGGTAGCCATGTTGGTCTGATGCAGTTGAAATATATATAAAAATAATAAAACTGTCCAGTAGCACCTTAGAGACCAACTAAGTTTGTTCTTGGTATAAGCTTTCATGTGCATGCACACTTCTTCAGATACTTCTTCTGAAGAAGTGTGCATGCAGACGAAATCTTATACCAAGAACAAACTTAGTTGGTCTCTAAGGTGCTACTGGAATATATATATATATATATATATATATATATATATATACACACACACACTTTTTAATATATACAACATACTTGAGATAGGGCAACTATTGCTATTATTTCTTTATTCTCCTTAAAATCATTGGTGAGGAACCTGTGGTCCTTCAGATGTTTCAGAACTATAGCTCCCATCATTCCTGACTATTGAGCATGCTGGCTAGGGATGATGGGAGTTGAAGTCCAACATCATCTGGAGGTCCAAAACTTCCCCACACCTGCTCTTTCACAAAAATTTTTGCAGGAGAATGTGTCATATATTCAGCTCTTGGGGTAAGATTTGCATTTCTTGGGCCATGAGTAACTAGGAATATTGGCGAGAGTACGACTATGTGTAGGGAACTAGTTTATATTGTGCACACGGTTGCACGTCTAGTACCATCTCAAAACCAGAGAAGATGGCTTCTTCACCAAACTGGAAGTTCAAGAGAGGCTTTTCTCTCTATAAATTATAGGATGGTGGAAAACCTACATCCTACCTTTGGTTTTCCCAGTAGTGATGTATGGAAGTGAGAGCTGGACCATAAAGAAGGCTGATCACCGGAGAATTGATGCTTTTGAATTATGGTGCTGGAGGAGACTCTTGAGAGCCCCATGGACTGCAAGAAGATCAAGGAATCAGCCCTGAGTGCTCACTGGAAGGACAGATCCTGAAGCTGAGGCTCCAATACTTTGGCCACCTCATGAGAAGAGAAGACTCCCTGGAAAGACCCTGATGTTGGGAAAGATGGGACTTCCGGGTTGGCGCCTCTGGCAATGGTGGATTTCCTCCGATCGGGAGGAATCCGCTCCGTGGAAAAAAGGGTCTGAACCGCCACGGCGAGGCGGAGACCCATCAAAAACCACAGGCGGGAGAAGCGTGTGGACGTGGGATTCGGCTGGCACCTTTGCGCCCCCCCTACTCGCGGGGAACCCCGGTTTCGGGGATCTGGAGCGACGTGGGGTGAGTGGCGCAGTGCCTTGAATCGACTGCTTCTTTCACGGAGTGAAGCCGCATTGTTGTTGCCGGAGAGCGCTGACTTTTTCCTGTGGACAATTGGATCTTAAATAACTGTCCGTGAGTAGAACGGAAAATTGGATTAAGAAATTTCTTTTAATTTGACACTGAAGCGGGAAGGTCTAAACAGGAAGTCCGCCTTCCGCTTTTTGTAGATAGATTAAAGCAAAGACACGGCAAGCTAGAGTTTAGAAAGTCGTCCGTAAAGGATCAATTTTCATCATTTAAAATTACTGAACCCCCCTTGGAAGCAGGAGAAGAAGGGGGAACTTTTTCTGGACTGTTTAAACCTGCAGAAGAGAGTGTAAAGAAAAGCAATTTTCCACCGTCTTGAACCTGGGAGCGGGGTGTCAGGACAGACATCTTTGGGAAGTTCATTGACTATAGACAAACGTTTTTGACAGATAGTTAAAAGAAGAGAGACATAGTGATTCCATTGTTCCCCTTCGCATCTAAAAGGAACAAAATATTGACAAAATATCTGAAAAAGGAAACTTTGTTGTTAGATCTGCTTTAAAAAAAAAAAGAGATGGATACAAATAGAAGCTTTTTCCCCTAGAGGGAGCATGAGAAACTGTTATTAAATCTGAACTGGGGAGCTTTGCAGCTGCAATAGATTAAGATCGTGGGATCAGACTCTGACCTTGCACAAGAATGTACTCGGAGGCTCTGGTGCTTGCCTTCTGCAAGACAAGTGCTTTATTGGAACAGTTACATGAAAAGACGGATTTGATGACTGTTGCGATTGGAAATTTTGGACAAGCAGTGGGTATCTATATAGAACCCACTCAGGAATTAATCCAGGAGTGTGCTCTAACCAGATGAGGGAGGAAGTTGTTGCTGGACCTCGGGAGGCAGAGATGGAGGGAACTGTGGCCCAGCAGGAACATGAGTTGTTGGATCTGACAAATGAACCTGGAAAAAGCCAGATTTGGAGAGATAGAGTCTTGTTTGGCTTGGAGATGGGGGGCTGGATAGACCCCCCTATGCAGGGATGTTTTGACTTTTCAAGTCTGGCTTTGGGCCGGGAGTTGTTCGGAGTTGTGGGGGCCCTTAACTTTGGAGGGACCTTGAAACATGCTTTTAAATACCACATGGAGTTCAGTGTTGACTATGGAAAAGGGGCTGATCTGTCGAGAAGGGACAAAAATATCGTCAAGCTGGAGTCTCCACGAATGAAAGGAGCAGAAGACAAAGTAAAGTACAGGTATAATAAACATGAAGAAGACCTGCGGAAGGGACATGGAAGAGATTTAAGGGCCTCGGACATAAGGTCACCGGGTTGATAAGCTAGATGGATGGGATAGAAAGGACTGACAAAACCCGAGACCAGGAGGAAGAGACGTTGGATGAAGATTGGAAGAAAGTTTTTAAAAAAATTATTTAGGAAAGTTTTGTAAAATTAATGAGTATTAGAAAAATGTTGGAACGCAACTATTTGGCTTTAGCAGAAATGTTAAAAAGAATTATGTAAGAATATGTTATGGTTATGAGAAATTGGTATAAATAAGATTTAAGTTTTAAGTTTTAGGGTTTTTTATGGTAAGATAAGGTTAAAATAGATTAAGGTAATTTAATGACAGAATATTATGAAAGATGGAAAGGATTTGCTGAGATAATTAACAACTAGAATACAAAAAAGGGAGGTGTGAGGAGGTCGATGAAATAAGGCAATGACAGTTAAGGATTTGAGAATACTGGATCTGTTTTTAAATTTTTTTGTTTATTTCTGCTTTTTGATTTAGATGTATGATGTGTTTTGCTTTTGCTTTTTGCTTTTGATTTTTATCGATTTGTATTGCTTAATTGTTATCTGTTTTTTTCTTCTTTTCTTCTTTTTTTGTAATCTTAAAATTCTCAATAAATATCATTAAAAAAAATAAAAGATGTTGGAAAAGCTGGAGGGCACAAGGAGAAGGGGACGACAGAGGACAAGATGGTTGGGTAGTGTTCTCGAAGCTATGAACATGAGTTTGACCAAACTGCGGGAGGCAGTGGAAGACAGGAGTGCCTGGCGTGCTCTGGTCCATGGGGTCACGAAGAGTCGGACACGACTAAACAACTAAACAACAACCTTTGGTTATGTAGACCTGCTTACCCCCATTGTGATGCCTGCTCATAGGTTCAATGGTGGAGAGGACCAGCTTGACTGTACAAGAAAGCTAAGAAGTTGGTTTGATTTTCAGTCATGGAAGCTTGCAATCTAAAAGTTGCTTCCCAGCACCCTCTTCATATCTGCCAGTGACTTTCAGTTCATGCACTGCTGTATGTTAGAGTAACCAAATGCCCAGGTTTGTTCATCGACTATCTTCACATTCTCTGATGAAGTCTTTGTTGCTTTCTTTTTCCTGTTGTTTTGCCTCATTCAAAAGATGGGGCTTGGGGGAAAAAATTCTTTTCTACTTAGGGCTTGACAACTTTACAGTTTGACTTGATAAGCTTCACTTACCGCTGTTTTATTGTTTATTTAATTAACTTATAGCATGCACTTATTCCAAAAAATCCTGGATGGCAATAATAGGAATTTCCCACCTCTAATGGTGAAAATAGTATGGAAGTTGTAAAACATACATATTTAAAAGTAAGATATGTATGTACAATTGTGCGAAGCTTATTATAAGTGATTATATTTAACTGGGAATTGAATGCAGAGGAGAATAGCTCAGACTGTCCTAGGAGTATGAATTTCTGGAAGGAAAGCATGTTAAAATGTGCTTGCAGTCCTGGCCATCAGAAACTGGGCTATACTACACATAAGTGTGAGTGGAGATAACGTCTTGCATGTGGTTTCACTAAAATAGCCAACAGATGAACTATCAGAACAGTTTATTTGCTATTTGAGCTTGTACATGATGTGCTTCAGCTTAACCATTTTCTATGCAGTATTTAACAGGAAGCCTTCTGGTATAATCTTCTATGGCTTTTCAACTCTGCAACTTCCTTCCCCAAGTGTCTTGAGTTCTCTGTCACATTATTAAGTGGCATTTTATGCAGAGGAAACATCAAGACAACTTATTACTTGGCTGTAGTGAATTAATATATTCATGTTTATTAATTTAGAATCTTGTTTGCTATAAGCAGCATTATCACTTAGCTACAGTGATTTTCCACCTCATTTGGTATCATACTAAATTTAGCTGCATTAGTATCCCTGGTAGCTTGTCAACAAATCCTTTGAAATGTTATGTTATCTTTTGGAAGTGTAGCAAAAGTCGAAATGAGATAGATGTCAAAGGTTTTGCTTGTCTTGTGGTCATCTTGCTTTTCGTAGGCCAATCCCAAAGTCCTCTGTATTCGCACACTGTAACTGACAAAGCCCCCGAAGTCCCTCAGCGCTGCTGTTTGCAGTCTTGCTTATATGGTATGAAATTGATTATTACTCCTATCCCTCTGGCTCCAACTTTGAAACTGCATGAATAGCATTGGATTTCATGTTCATTTTCCTATTTCAGAGAGGGCCTCTCAGACGCCAGATGCTTCCCGATAACAACCAAATCAGTGATACATCCCTTAAGCTATAGTTGTGTAACTAGCCCTTTCAGGACTTATTTCATCTAACACCCATGCAATGTATAGCCTTTCGGAGGGGGATAAATAAACCCAAAGTCTCCAGTTTACAGCGGTGCTTTGTAGCTGTTGAAATATATGCATTGTCCATTAGAAGAAAGAAGAACCAGCACGGACTCACGTTACTGTGTTTTTCCTTTCCTGAGACTATGGGCTGTATCAAATGCCCATGCACAGCAGAACTTCCTCTTCCTCTCCTGTCCCCACCAGCCCCCTGTGCACCTCCAAACTCAGCTCTGGAGTGTTGGGGGAGTCCTCTGGGGCGGATCTTGTGAGTGCATGGAGGGAACAGAGGTAGCAGAAGTCCCGCTTTGCTGGTGGAACCCTGCTGGTGCAGCACTGAATACAATCCCATAGGTTATCAGGTTTCCCCCTGTTGAAT